AGAAACTATGGGCTGTTTAGACTCTTCCAAGATTACCCTAAAAAAAGGAAAAAAAGAAAAATGTTGCTAATTAGATGAGGGTGGAAGGAGCAATAAATGACCTTTCTCCAAAGTATATAGTAAAGCTCCTTCCATATTTAATGGATGAGACCATATCCTTATCTTGTGCAATGGTATTCCCTCTGAGTATTAGATATGGGGGCAAATACAGTGCCATCTACTGATATCATCTTCAGGTCTTAAATCAAAATCCCAATGTATTTTGCAACAATGGATTCAGGATCTTTACTATATACTTTGGAGAAAGGTCATTTATTGCTCCTTCCACCCTCATCTAATTAGCAACATTTTTCTTTTTTTCCTTTTTTTAGGGTAATCTTGGAAGAGTCTAAACAGCCCATAGTTTCTTGGTTCCAATATTAAAGACTCATGTGCTATTTTGGAGGAAATAGAGCTGGAGAGTTGCTTCAAAACTGGAAATGGAACTGAAAATGAATTGAAAAGGCTAAATACAATTCTGTTAAAAAACAACATAAATGTAATTAATTTTAAAAGAAACTCACAATAGCTTGGTTGTCATTACTATTAAATTGTCAGTTATGGAATTTCATAGGTAATTCCTGCAGCCACAATTCCACACAATACATCGCATCAATTTACAGTGCCCTGCTTTAGTAGATCATCAATTCCTTTGTCCTATTAATATATTCCTGTTTCATCCAAAGGAAATGTCTCTATCTGAGAACACTGGAACATTACTTGCATCTCATTTTCCTGGGTTGTTAGTTGGTGTCAATTCTCTATATGTAAACATTTGCAGGATAAAATGTCTCAGGAAAAATATTATAAAGCATATTAGAGAGCTTTAACTAACTGTATTGGTATGGGAAGAAAATAGTTAAGAATACCTAAGAATAAGAAAGATAGAAGGAATATGGATTATTAAAGACTATGTAATATATGCCTTATCTGGAAACTTACCTAACGAATTCCCTCAATTTATTACCCTGAGATGACCCATATTGCTCACGTGTAGTATCTACACATAGTTATAAGGTATACATGAATTGGAAATTTAAATTAGTTAGCAGAAACTGGTATGAAGCATTTTGACTTATGGAGAGTCCTTCCTTTTTTAATAGATATGGCAAGACTGACTGTTCCCTTCTTGCTTGAAAATCTTTGTTTTTGAGCAAATTGCATGTTCATATGTCAACCTCACACCCTTCAAATGTGTTGAAATACACTTCCCATCACTCCAAGCTAGCAGAGCTTCAGCTTGGGAAATGTTGAATATATTGATCCCATTTAAAGTAGTAGTCTTTAGGGATGCATAACTTCTTGGCTAAAATAAAGTGTATGTTTCTATAATGTTTCTTCTAAGAGCCCTGGTGGCGCAGTGGTTAGAATGCAGCATTGCAGGCAAACTTTGCCCATAGCCTGGTTGCCATAGACTTGGGGTTGATTGAGCTTTCCATCCTTCCGAGCTCAATGAATTGAGGACCCAGATTATTGAGGGCAATATGTTGACATTGTAAAGAGCCCAGTGAATGCTTTAAAACACTGTAGGGTGGTATGAAAGTTTAAGTGCTACTTAAGGAAATGTATTTTCTAGAATGTATTTAAAGAAATTAGAATCAAAGAAATAATGAGAAGAATGAGAATTATCCACTGTATATGACTTCATGAACTATAATTCCAGTTCTCAAACAAAGGCAAGAAGATGTAGTATTGTAATCTTGAAAAGAGTCATTTAGGCCAATAAGTCCAACTTCTTTCTCAGACCAAGAATCCAAATAGGAACTTCCCAGACACATGACTATCCAGCCAGTAAGGTGGAAGCCCACATTTTAAGAAATTGGCTCCCTGCCAAACTATTCTTATTGAATGGAGGTTTTTTTTTCTTTTAGTGAATCTGAACCTGCCTGTGTACTGCACTCTACAATGGGGAATTGTATGATTTCTGTGTCAGTATTTGAAAAACACCATCATAATCATCTTTATTTAAAATTAAACATCATCAATTTCCTCAATTTCTTTTCATAGGCTTAATTTCTAACCACCTTTTTTTCCTCCCTGCCTTTCTCTGATTCTGTTCTAGTTTGTCTGGTACTGCATTTACAACACTTCGTTAAAAGCTGATGCTCAGGACTGAAAGAGCATACAAATTAAAGTGGAACTATTATTTCCCATTCTCTGGAAACTACACTTCTGTAAAAACAGTTTACATTTTCATTTGCCATTTGCAGCTATAATGCATGGCTGACTCATATTCTGTTTGTGGTCATTTATTGTTCCAAGATTTTTTACACAGACATCGTTATGAGCCAAATATCCCCCATCCTATGCTGCTTCTTTTTTTTTTTGGCATAAATATAGATTTTAGATGCTTAATGTTGAATATAAATGGAGCAAATGTTCCTCAAAAATGAATTATTTCAGTACTTTAAACCATTGAAACAAGAAATAGCTTGTTTATAAGAAATGCATATTAGAAAAAAAATATTTGATTTGCAAAAATTTGGTGAAGAATTTATCTCAGTGGGCACTAAACAGAGAAATTGCTTTGTATATAAATTGCCAATTACAACCAAAACTAAGAATGGGTGATGATTATGATAGACATATGGGAGGTGGAAGTTCTTTGCATCAGACCAAAAGTCTAATAATGGGAAATTTATGCTCCAAATGAGCATAAAGTAACATTTGACAAAGGACTTATAAAACAATGGACTTACCATATGAAAATTGGAGCTTATTGGAAAATTGGAATGGAGTAATTTGTTCAGAGGAACATATTTTGCAGGTTCTGATCAGTTCTTGAGTACCAGTAGCCAAATTTTGAGTAGTTCGGAATACCTCTGACTTGCCTGCCTCATCTATTCTCTGCTTCCTGAGTCCCAGCTGATCAGGAGGAAATGGGGATTTTATAGTATCTTTCCCCTGCCATGCCCACCAAGCCATGCCCACAGAACCTGCAGTAAAAAAATTTGAATCCCACCACTGCAACACATGGTAAAATACCAACTTTAGTATACCTATATGATGGACAATTTAGAGGTTGTGGATGCATAGAGATACAAAAATGGTGATGCAAAAAAATATATTTATTTTTCTTAAAGACTTACATATTTTTTAAGAACTAATATGTTTTGACTGTCTAAAAATTTGGTTTTCAGACCACAACCTGTGACCTTAGTAGTTAAAAGGAAAATCAATTCTGTCACATGGCAGTTAAATGAAACATTGTTTCAGAAAGAAGGATGTCCCTGGTCACCATTGTTTCTGATCTTACCTCTGAAAGTATTGAACAGCAATAAAAGCCAAGAATAAAGAATTATTGAAGTGAAGATTAAAGCAGATATATGTAAATGACAGATGCTGCTGATTATATGATGAAAATTCTGAAAAATCCTTTGGATGAAATAGAAACACAATGAAAAGAATTACAGGATTTTGGTGCATTAGCTGAATTTAAAATTAATGATGGGAAAACGAAGATGTTAACAAAAACACAAAGATGGAAGAGCAAAGAGAACTGATGGCCAAAAAATGGTTTTAAGATTGAGAAAAAAAGTGAAACGATTTTACCATGATAAAATATGAATTACATGGTATTTCAGAGCATGGAATGAAAGTAAGAAGGACATGGTAATATGGGAGAGATCACAGTTGTCATTGTTAGGGAGAATATGAAAAAAAATGAATATATTGCCTAGAATTATGTTTTTATTTCAAGCAAAACCTATTTTGTTCCATTTAAGCAATGGCAGAAAGATATGTCTAGGTTTGTATGGCAAGGGAAACATGGAAAACATGAGGCTTTTTAAAATCATGCCTGCTGGAGATGCAAAAAAGCCAGAAAAATTTGGGTTCAGATACACACAGTGATATGAAAAATGTAAAATAAACTTTGCCTTACTTATGTATTTATTCTGAGTATCTAATTTGTTCCAACCACATGGGATATTCCATACGTTAGTCATTAACATGTCAATGAAGAAACAGCTGGGGGCAGTGCTCCCCTGTAGCAGAGACACAATCCTCTTCTTGCACAAGATTTTTGTAAGTTAAGTCAGCAGAAGAGGTATTTAGAATCTTGTTTTTACTTAAGTTTTCCAAAAAATCAACATTCTTCTGAAAGGAGGGTGGACAGTAACAAAAATCACTCAAATAGTCTGCATTCCAGGAACTGTCTAGTCAATTTTACAATAATCCCTGGGTAACTAACATTTGGACATTAAAATGTCTGCTGCTGAAGTTCTCTGGAAAGTTCACTCTAGGTCATGTGAAAGGGCAGCAATGTCTGAATATTTTGGAATATTTTCTCCAAAATTTAGGGCTAAGGCGTGACTAATATATTTGAAAAGTGAAGCCATCTCTTTCTGGTGGGAGGAGAAAAGTGGATATATGTACAAAGAATGTTCTTAAGATCTGAGAAAGCTGCTTATCAGCACACAAGTATTTCAGACTTTATAAATGAAGAGGATGGATTTAATAATGAAATCTGACTACATTGCAAGGCATATATCAGGGACCTGAGGTATCTTTGCAGCTATTTTTCCCCTACTTTTTCTGTTCATAGAAAGAATGCTATCTCAATGATCTGTTGGGTGAGAAGCTCATCTTAAAGAAAAACAAGCATGAGGTTTTAGGCTCATTTTAACCAAAGTTAGGTGCTTTTTCGTTTTGTAAAACAATATATTATTTCATTCTCAAAGTTGAAGGCACTAGGGCCTGGCAAGGATTTTTTTTTTAAGTTCCCCACTGTGGCTTCTACATACATACTCACTTCCTTCTGGTCTTGTGATGAACTAAGCAAACCAGACTCCAACAGGAACCTTCCACACTGGTGGCTGTTTCCACTGTAGCATGTATTTGTCATGTTCATATTCCTTTCTGACAGTTCAACTTCACCTGGTTCCACAGCATGGATCAAAGAGAAATTATCATGAAAAACCTGAAAAGGATCAGGAACAGAAACCTCAACAAGGAAGAGTTCACCAGTGAATATTTGGTAAGCAAGCTGCAGCAATATTTCTAAGCATGGTTTTAAAGGAAGAATTAATATTGTGTTGTAAGAAGATCGTCTGTTGTTTTAGTAAACTGCTAATTTGTGCTTGTAAGGGGTTTCCCCCCCTATGAAAGCATGTAAAATAGCATTGAAGGGGACAGATGGAAACTGCCTGAACTTTAAATTACTTTAAGGTTCAAACTCAATCCTTCCTATTTTTTCTTGTGAGATTGTATTAACTGAACGATAGTTCTAGCTTGATTGCAAAATGGTTGGGAAAGCCACTTATTGAGATGAGCAGCTATAGAAATCAAACAATAAATAAAAATAAATTTTCCATTTTAGGAAGGGAAAGAAAGGAGCACCTAAATTGATAAGTGATTTAGGAGGGCCCCAGACACGGTTGACTCCACGTTGTAGGGAGCCATCCAATTAAATGCTGTCCATGTAGGAAGGGCTCTCCCTGAATTCATTTGCCTCCTTGCTACTATTGTTCAGTTCCTCTCTTTCACTGTGATCCATTCATCTGCTGAGAAGGAAAACGTTGCCCCTTCTTCTGATTCAAATTTCAACGTAGGTGAAAAGGTAGAAGCAGAGCCAGTGGTTAGCAGCAGCAACCTTTTCCCACCTCAACCCCCAGCCCAAGGAGAAGACTATAGTTTTAAAAATAATGCTTGTATAGTCTTGAAGGATGACTAGCAAGAACCAAATAAAAAAAGTCTTAGACTATCAAAGTCAGATTTAAAAAAACATACAGTACATGGGAGAGAGATAACAACAAAGTGAAGACTATGATGTCTGTGAATTGAAACTTTCGATTTAATTACAATTTGTCAGAGTCCCAGTATACTATAAATTGAAAATTAAGTTTTGAGGAGTTCCTGGGAATCCATGGGAGTATTTAGCAGGCCACTAAGGGTAACTTCTTCAAGGATATCACATATCCATTACTGTGTCATCATGTAAATAATAGCTCTAATATAATTTTAGTTTGTATGAACGTTAATACTTGGGTTTGAAAGGTAGTGTATAAACCATACCCGAGAATGTTTCAAATTCCTTGGCAAAAAATGACTTGAAAATATAAATATCTTTTCATTAATTTGATAAGAGTTGCTTCTCTACTACAAAAGAAAAAAAGGATTTTGTAACAGAAACTGAGCATGGTACTAATAGATACCAGAGTGCTAGAAATTAGAATTTTATCTTTGCAAACAAACCCATCTAATTTCCAATAGCTATATTAAATAGTCCACCTCTACAGAAGCATCTTTGTGTATTGTCACCCTGTGTTCAGTGCCTACTAAGAAATCTGCAATTAAAGTACAAAAAAGCTAATATTTTAACTTCTTACTTTCATAAGAGTGTGTGTGTGTGTGTGTGTGTGTGTGTGTGTGTGTGTGTGTGTGGATTTGAAATGCATGTTACAGTTCTACACTGGTGGAACCTTTCCTACATCTGATGCTCTCCAAATGTACTGAAACTGCTTACTTCTTTAGTCTAATTCATTCAGGTAGGTTCACTGCCTAAAGCAATGGTGCCGATAAATGTTACTAGTCAATTGCAATGCTCTTCTTGAGACATCATGCCTTGTTTCCATTGGTTCGATCTTTGGGTTCTGTTATTGGTTTCCTGCTGCAACTTGTTAAGCCTGGAGGAGATTGTTTTTAGCTTTCTGATCTTTGCAGTAGAAAGCCTATAGTCAGTCTTTTGTGATGCTGGTGCCTGTTCAGCTTCCCTTGTTTCTTAAACTTGCTGTGCAGGTATTTCCTCTCTTGGAGGAATTGATTTAGGGATTGTAAAAATTCCTACCTTAAGAAAGCTAAGGAGACTATCATCTGCTTTAATAATGCATTAATTGTTGTTGTCTTGGATCATTAATGTTCACAGATGAGTCAGTTATGACTAAAATATTCTTAGTGTGTTTTATGAAAATGCTCCAGAAGTGTTTGGTGGAAAAAGCTCTTCACTGCTGCCCTACAATGTCTCCAGGCCTGATAAGGACAAAATGCTGGAAAAAATGTTAGTATTGCCTTCCTTGAAACTTCTATCAGTTTGAACAGCATAAAACCATTCAGCCATTAATTATTCTCATTTATTCAGGCAATACTAATTTTTATTTGCTTATTTTTATTTATTTCTTCTGTTTTAGATATTTATTTCTAGTGTTTGACTTTAACTGCGGGATGAAACTGGTGATTGATGGGTATTGCAGTGGATAATTGCACAGCATGCAAATGATACACATTTACAATTAAGGGTCAGGGGTTGGTTTGTTTCTACTCTCAGAACTGAAGATAATTCCATTTCTCCAAATGATTTCAAACATTTTGAGGCCACTGAGATGGTACTGAGTGTCAAAAATACTTCTTGATCTAGTGTGTGTTGACCAGGCCCGGCAAGGTCAGAAATAAACAGACTGAAATAAAAATGACCTATTATAACAACAAAGGATAGGTGTCAATTATTATTCCCAACCCCAAAGCAAGACACTGTTAGCTTAAGATGTACTACCGGCTGTAGAAAGATGTGCAAGAATTGAAATCATATTTTTATTATAAATATAGTTGGTATTTTCTTCTTGGTGATTGCTAGATTTCTCATTTAAATAGCTTTTGCAATCATCAGAATGTATGTGTTTGTTCTTGAATCACTTCCTGCAAAGCTTCTGGTTTTGGAACAAGTCAGGAGAAATCTGAAATGTTGCAAATGAAAACAGTAGAGCCATTTTTATCCAAAAGTGGGGTAACACAATCGTTTCACCTGGGTTTTCAGAGGTGGGTTTTGATTGTAGAAAATTCTGTTAATATCCATCTTCTTTTTCTACTTCTGTTTCTCCACTTTAATTATATCCTTTGAAATTGGCCAATAGTTCAGTTTCAAATTTGCATTTATTTTTCCTTATATTCAATCCTGCCCCAGTTTTTGGAAACTGTCTTTAGTGTCCAATTGCCTCTTTCATATGACTGGAGAGAGTATCTGGTCCAAGGTCACCCAGTTGGTTTTATGCCTAAGGCAGGACTACAACTCATGGTCTCCCAGTGTCTAGCCTGGTACTTTAACCACTACATCAAACTGGCTCTATTTTTTTTTATTTTGTTTTAAATAACCGTGTAGGTACCATGGCTGGGTTTTAGCTGGTGTTACTGCCTGTTCACTCACACACGCTGGATGTGCACTGCATCCACAGTTCAATTGAAATTGTTTTGCGCATGCACAGACCTCCAAAAAAAGATGGCAGTGGCGACGGCAGCGACCAGGGAACTGATTCAGGGGCATGGCCAGCCTGGGTCTCTGCCAGTTCTATGACCCAGGCTGGTATACCACTATTGGTTCAGCCAAACTAGGCCGAACCGGTAGGAAGCCACCTATGGTAGGTACATATTAATATTCAAACATATTCTTTAGAAAAGTCAATCTTTGCAGCTAAGAAAATGGTAGCAGGTTGAGAATAGGCATAAATCATGATAGCAAGCTGAAAATGAGCATAAATGTTCATGAAATCTTAATAAAGGTAAAATGATAGGTTCTGAAAATGAGTAAGCCAGTGCCTGCCAACCATGTATAAACTGTCCACCAAGTGCATAAATTTCAAATTTGAATGAGTCATTTTGTAGCCACTTCCATTGGTGTCTGAAATAGAATGGAAATGGAAATAGAAAATGAAATAGACTGATAGAACGGAAAATTCTGCATCAGCTTTAACAGAATTGGTGTATTTGTGTTTGGGTGTACAGAAGGAAAATTTGGATTTGTGTAAAAGGATTGATGCTCTTAAGTATAGTATCCACTTCATTGCAGAGCAGCACTAATGATGGCAATGTGCCTCAAATACCAACCTGTTAATATATAGAATTAGATAACACAGAATTATTACTGAACTGACTTCACTAAGTATCTTTCTAAACTGCATTTTTATTGTCACTCACTATATCCTTAACCTTTCAAAAAACCCTTTTCCTTCAACAAGCACACTTTTATGTGTGCTTGTTTTCTCAAAAAATGTATAATCCAGATGTGATTTCCTAGAATTATGAGCCAGTACTGGGTGGGAATTTCAGGTAGCTGTGATTGACGAAGAAGAAGATTTACATAAGCCATATTCTAAAACATATGGGAGAAGCATTTTTATAGTTGCAGTTAGAAAACACCACATGTTCAGACATTAAGTTGTAACCTCATTATTTTATGCTAAAACAGCAGTTGAAACAGGAAGTAGGTGCTATTTTTGGACATTAATTAATTGTTATGTGGCATTTGTACTACATGCTGTGGAATCCTTTTGTCTTAGGAAGATTAAAATAAAATAAAAAACAAAAAATGCATTGTTTGTAAACCTAAGACAGGTATCCTGAGCATAGAGAAAGCTAAATGATGGTGATCAAATCATTCTGTTTAAATGCAGCCTAGTATATTTTATTCAGTATAGTATTTGGAAAAAATACATTTTGTTTAGATACAGTACATGCATACAGGCTTATATTACAATAGCCTATTAGTGCTTCAAAATTGGATTTAATTGTGAAGTTCACTCCTTCTGTATCATCTATCATTTATTCACCCCTTTCATTCTCATCCATTTTTTTCCATGCCACAGAAAGTGCATTAAGAAGGGCATCTTAGAAGATTTGTTTGTGGTAGATTTATGTTTTACAACATGAAATAGCCTCTGTATTTATGAATGTTTGTCATCCAGAATTATAATAGTTGGTCTGGCAGGGAGTTGAGCTTGAACCTGTGTAAACTCAAAGGTATATGGCACTCTAGACCATGTTATTCGATGGTGCCAACCATGTCAATACAAAAATGTGCATTTTCAGAATGATTCAGCACTCTAGGCCAGTGTCTACATAGCCATGGCCTAAAGCTGGCCATGGGTTCAACGTATCTGGAAGACACTCTGGTCGGGGAGGTCTGTGCTAGGAGTTGCATCAATCAAACAAATTTTTAAAAAATTAATACATGCATATTGGGAGATTGGATTTTCTTCATCCTCTCTATAA